TGAAGAATAGCCCTTTTTATCTAATGTCATTTTACTAGGGTCAAGTTTTCTTCACACTTGATGCTTTCAGTAATTGGAAAATCTCATGTGAAATTCAAAGCTCTAGTTTCATATTCACTGTATAGCTAAGATTCTCTTTTCTCTACAGTCCTGGGCTAACAGAGGAACCTGCAATGAGGAAGGGCATAAATTTGGGGATTGCCCTCTCCAGCATGCATGCCAAATAATATAACTAGAAAAATAGCAGGTCTCATCTAGAAGAGATCTTCCTATTTTTGGCTCAGTGTGGTACCCTCTCTTCTGTCGTCCTCTACACATGTGCTTATCTCCCGTACACAGTTTCAGTGTTTGCTAATAGCTGCATCCTGCTTCAAACTGTATCCTGTCTACTGTCTGAGAGTTTTTGGGAGAGGGAGAACTTAGTCTCTTTAACTCCATGTCATCCTCATCAATCTTTCTCAATAGTGCATTTCATTACTGATTTGCTTGCTATATTGTTAGTCCCGCAGTTTTTTCTTTTCTTTTCTGTGTCCCATGCTCTATAAACCCCAGAAATTCATAAAGTCTAGTTTCAATTAAAGACCACATCAACACAGGATTAGCCAGACATGGTGGCACATGCCTGTTATTTCAGCACTTGGGAGACTGAGGCAGGATGATCATTGCAAGTTCCAGACCACCAGGGCTACAAAGTTAACTCTAGGTCTGCCTGAACTGCACAGTGAGATCTTATCTCAAAAATAACTACAAAAACAACGGAAACTGTTAACTCAGGATCACTCCATGATTAAATTTAAGTATTCTTTTATTTTTTTTTTATTTTAAAAAGGATAAAACCAAAGAAAATAAAACAATAAATTCAATTAAAATAAACCAGTATAAATCATACAGGACTTCAAAACCTTTCGATATCAACAGTAGTTTCCATAATGCTTTTTCTTGTCTTCAAAATAGCTGCAGATACCTTCCAGCATAGTAAAAATTGATTAGAACAGAATAGAATAGAAACAATAAAATCAAAGCAATGAATGCAATAAAGGACTTCAAAACAAAACAATAGCAAATACAAAATGGTTACCATATGTCTTGCTTTTTTAAAAATAGCTTCTTTCTTTTAAATAGCTTGCATTCTTTTACAAAGCTGCTGGGTTTGACATAATCAAACAAAACAAAAGAGAATAAAACCCCACCCCAAAAAACAATGAAAATGATATGGGTTCCAGGCAGGGATCCTCTCCTGATCAGGCCTTGTTCTCTCCCTCCACAGTCTGCTAATGAGTGACTCACAGAGAGAGGCTTGGGTCTGGCTGTCCCCACTCCAGCAGCATCCCTGGGATGGCACTGGTTTCCGGGCAGGGGTCACCTCCTTGTGAGACCTGGTTCTCCCCCTCCACAGTCTGCAAATGCCACTTTAGACTTCATTATTCTGAAGAGAAATGTGTACAGTAAACCCTAAACCTACTTGCAGAATTAATCTACATTAGAAGTGATTTCCTAGTTTACAAGTGTCATGTTTCCTTCACACTTCAAGCTTTCCTAAGAGCATTCAGAACACATTTTGCTCCCTTCTCAAGGTAGCACTTGGATTACAATATGGTATCTTTTTAGCAGTTGATAAACCTGACCGCATTCAGTCAGCTCCCTATTTGGCTTAGGAAAGAGGGAAAAAAAAAAAAAAAAAAAAACTTTCCTTTGTGCCTAATCCATACGAGTGCAGAAAAAGCTTTCTCACCATTAACAGCATTCTTCAAAATAACAGAAAAGATATTAAATACCTTGCATACACAACATGCATTGTATTATTTCTTCTGGATTTGGGAAGCCTTTTCTTTTGGAAAGGCCTGGTCACAGTATGAACGCCTGAGTGCTTTATCAAATCATGTTTTTAAAAGAGATTAGTGTGAGACTGGGTACTCATCTGTGAGAGCACATTGAAAGCTAAGATGGTATCTCATAGTACCCCATTCGCCACGAACCATTTTTGATTGTTTTATGTTGTGCTATGACCTCCAAAGAACATTCTCAATTTCAAGATATGTGTAGCAGCATGCATGGCTTTGATGGGATTTGCTTGCCTAATTTAATATTAAAAATATTACTAACAAAAATATAATATCCTCCAAAATGCCTCTGTGTAAATCTTAAAACAGGGATACCCTTTTTTCATGTAAACTTTGTTAATTTTATTGTTCATCAAAATCATAGTGGTGTTTACTATGTATGTAGCACAGCTTCATTCTAGTGTGAAAAACTAGTGGACATCTCCACTGCCCTTTTAACATCCATATTCAGGTTGAAGAAATAAAGTAGACAGGAACATGAATAAATAATTGACAGACGGTGATAAACAATGGATGAACTAAACAGACTTTTATTAGACAAAATCAATGGATGGGTCTACTTTAAAAATGTCAATTAAGGAAGATTTCTCTGATGAACTGAAGTTTCAGCTGAGATCCAAAGCATGAAACACAGCCATACTTACCAGAACTGTAATGCAGGTATAGGGAAAGCAGGTGTTGAGGCTTTGTTGTGGAAAAAACTTATTCTAGGAAATGACAGAGAGTCAATATCACCATATTTATAGAACTAGAGAATCATGTGGAGTCCTACAGGACCTGTTAAAGGATTTTGTTTATATTCACAGGGCAATGAAAAACCACTGAACAATTTGAACAGAGAAATAAAGTAAAATTATTTAAGCTCCAAAAAACTCTGATCTCTTAGGGGAAAAAATACAACAGTAAAAACCACAAATCAATTAAGTGTCTTTTTCAATTGATAGACAAGAGATGCAGGTTAGCTCATAGATCATGGCATTGGAAACAGAGTGAGATTATGCTGTAGGCTGAATCATGTTCTTTCAAAATTCTTATTTGGGACTGTAACACCCTGTAGAGTTGTATTTGGAATTTGGCCTTTGTTACGACTTAGGTCTAGAATGTCCCCCCAGATTCCCATATATTAAAAGGTAGGGCTTGTGGATGGTTGATGGATATTGGGGATGCTCTACTCACCTGTGGCTTCATTCACCAATGATTTTAGCAGTTGATTGTACTGATATGAGGTGGGGTTTGGCCAGAAAAACCTGGTTACTGCATGATGACGTGGAATATTGTAGTTTCCTTTTGGACTCCTCTGCAGGGGCTCTGTTTTCTGAATGCCATTAGATGACCAACTTTCCTACACTCAGGCCTTTTACCATGGTATTGCTGCCTTGGACCCAGCCAACTATGGACTGAATTATGAGCCAAAAGAATTCTTTTTCTTTTTTTCTTTCTTTTTTTTTTTTTTTTTTTTTTTTTAATATGTGGATGTCTAGTTTTGTGTAATTAACCAAAGTGATTAAGACAGGCTTATAAGGAGTGATTAAAAATTAAATGAGCCCATAAAGGTGGGACCTCACTACAATAGAACTGGTTTTCTTAGAAAAAGAAGAAGAAAGACCGAGCTCTTTCTGTTGTAAAGAGACGGATAGAATGTAATCATGTTCCTGGCTTGGTTGTTGTATCAACCACCACCTGTTCTAAACATATGATATTTTGTTGTAATATTTTGTCTGTAGTCAAGTTAGTGATATTATGCCAATATCATTTTTTTTGGTTTGGTATTATACTATAGCAATATAAGTTATTACTGTTAGAGGAGTGCCAGAAAAGGGTAAAGGGAGTCAGACCTATTGGAATTTGTTGTCACACTTCAAAATATGAAGCTTTCAAAAAATTTCCATAGAAATGATAATTGTCTTTGTTTATTGTATGAAACTCATGGGGAGATTCATTCCAATGTCCCTTATATGTGTGTAACTGCTCAATTCAGTTACATAAGTTGATATATTTTCATATAACTTTTGCATATCCTTCTATATACTTTACATTATTTATTATAAATGATATGAATTCTCTGTAGTAGTTGTCATGCTGTAATTTTAGGGGACAAAGACAAGAAATATCTATACAGGTTCAGTGTAGATAACATTTTTTTCAATTCTTTTGGTTCATAGTTGAAGTCACAGATTTAAAGTTTATGTTGTAAAAGGCTAACTGTGTGTGTATGTACACATACCCATGTAAAAATTCATACTATTGGTGGAGCCTGTACAATGAAATTTTATGCATGTTTTGTGGATAATTTAGACAGTGCTTATTAGCCTCAACTTCATAGTAAATCATAGGCTACCATGTACTATATGGTATGTTTTGTAAGAGATAGTTAAATAAAAAAAACTGCTTGTTACAGTGCAATATGGTTAGGTCATCAGTAAAACTATGTTTAAATCAAAAAAAAATTAAAGTTAAATCTCTCTTTAAAGCATCCAACAAAAGTGAATTATTTTCAGTTGGTTTGTTTTTAAGACAGTTTTTCTATATGACTCAGGCTTTCAGTCAGGTTATTATGTATCCCAGGCTGGCCTTGAATTTGTGGTGGTCCTCCTGTTTCAGCCTCCCAAGAGCTGAGATTACAAGCACATGCCACCAAGCATGGTGAAAAATAGCTGAACTTAAAGATACATTTTGAAAAATGTATACATGTTTCACTAATACAAAGGCACGCCAGCATATTTCAGTGAGAACCACATATCCAAAAATCAAAATAGAGAGGGAATGATCACTTAAATTTCCAGATCCGTGAATTAAAATGGAATGACTTTGCTTAAAATTAAATTGTTTTTGATATTACATCTTAAAACAAATATCTATTTTAAAAAGCAATAAGATTAAGTACTAGAAACTAGAATTTACAGTGTACAACAAAATATCATGAATACAGTTAGTTATAACTTACTGTCATGATTCAATGCTACAAGTGTGTAATTGTATTGAGATATCACAAATTAGGATCCTTTGTCAAATAGAAGCACACTAGGGTTATTTTGTGTCTGTCCTATATTTCTTTGAAACATAATATCTGAAGTATTGACCTAAGCTTAAATTGTTCTCATATATCCTTATTGTATTTTTTTGTAATAGTTGTTATAAAGCAATTGTTCTTTTCCCCAGATTTGGCAGTGTGGAGGCTCCCTGGAGATTGTGACGTGCTCCCATGTCGGTCATGTGTTTCGGAAGGCCACCCCGTACACTTTCCCGGGTGGCACTGGTCATGTCATCAACAAGAACAACCGCAGACTGGCAGAAGTTTGGATGGATGAATTTAAAGACTTCTTCTATATCATATCCCCAGGTATGCAATTCTGGCATTTTTATTCCTTTACAAGTGAAAATGAAATTTAAACATGTTGACATATTTCATTATTGCTCTTACTCTATTAGATTTAATAAATGGCATTACCAATATATTGCAGAAAATTACACATAAGAAAAATCTACTACACTCTCGGTTTTTATCTAAATGAGAGAGTGTTTCAGGTGCTTAAATATTCCTCTTTCATTCTTTGTCTCTTAATTTTTCTTTTATTTGTTCTCAACAAAAATAGAGCAAGCAGTACACAGAAATACCCAAATATAATTAGCACTTATTAGATCAATTTAAAAGTTTTGTGTGTTTTTAAACAGGAATATTTTGCATGTCTTTATTTACTTAAAAATCTAAGGAAAGGTTAATTGACTTTAAAAGCAGATGGAAAAGTGTGCAGATTTTGGTAATTCATGTTTTGAAAAAGAATTGTTATGAAATACTTATAAATTTAAGTAGAAAGAATAATATAGAATGATAATATGTTATCTTTATTTTAGTTATATAAAATTATATGTAGAAGTAAAAATTAGGACATCTTGGAATAACAGAATTTTGATTAATTTCATTATTTTACATTAATTTTATATGTATTTTAAATTTTCCAAACTTTAAAAAAACCTATCAGTTAAAAAAAGTTATTTTGAGAAAAATTCCATTACTGAATGGTGACATTTTCCCCTTTATAGTTTTCTACATTTTTTTCAGTTATATTTCTTATTCTTTAAAAAAGCCAAAAAAATTGAAGCATTATGTAAAAAACCAGTAATGTTACCAGAGAAAGAAAAAAAAAAAAAACTTGAGTTATGATTTCAAAGGATAATCAAGAAGCCAAAGCATAAACTCACAGAAATTCATCTCTATTGACAAAATAATTTCAAGTATTCCATTTTTGATAGTTTTAATCCGTGCTTACTTTTCTTCTATAATGTTATCTGTCATATGGATCACAAAAGCCAGTTTGATTACAAATGACGTCCTCTGATTTTTGACATATGTGCAAGGCGATTAAATCCTCTTATAGACAAGTACGAAAGAAAGAAAGAAAGAAAGAAAGAAAGAAAGAAAGAAAGAAAGAAAGAAAGAATGTGAACTTTTATATTAAGCTCTAAAATTCACCAGGAAGAAAAAATGTGGGTATTGTATGTGTTAATAAGTGATTAGAAGTATCTTTTTGCACAATTTTGAGCCTCTTCTATGTCAAGAACCAAATGTCAGGAACACTAATTCACAAATAAGCGCATTGCTTTTGAAGTAGAAATCCAGTCCATATGTTCATAGAGCTAAGTTAGGCAAGAGCAATGTTAAATCTGTAGCAAGGTAGTGACATTTGTCTAATCTTTTTATTTTCTTTTGATTTCATTTTATTTCTGAATTCAAGTCATTACTTAATAGAAGTATATAAGCTCAAATATTGATAAAGGTATAACAGAGGAAAGATGTTTGTTTTGTGGGATTACCTATAACTTACATTCAAAACTATGAGTAAGAATAATTGTAACAATATGTATTATATCCATCCAAAATTAACATTATTTGTGAAAAGTGATGTTAGGGCAGGGGAAAGGGGGGATTTTTTTTCTCTACTGTCTAACTATTTGCTGAAATAAACTGGGAATATATAAGGTAAATGGAATAAAAGGCATACAAACTCATGCAAAAGGAGAAAAATCATGGCAAAGGAGTCAAATCAGAGGAATATGATTACCCACTAAGTCAACATGAATTCAGAAACATATACTCTTTTCCTGTAGGGATAGGCAAAATGCTCTTTAGGGAAACACCTACCATCTGGGACAAAGTCTGTAGCAGGAACTGTGGAACAAACACTGGATTATAAATGGCTCTCTGGGACCTGAAATAGAGGACGAAGGCACTTGACAAGTCTATCCAGCTCTGCTTCTCATGTCAGACTTGTACCTTTCTTTCTTCAGTATGAATTTAGTTAATGAACTAAGGTAGTTTATTAGGGAAGAAGCCAGACATATCTGTTTCTTCTTTGACATCTCTGGGTGCAGGTCCAGGTCCTTAGGAAGGTTGGAAAATTTGCAGCAAGTTCCCCCTGTACTGCTGAAGGACAGGATGTGAGACAGGTTAAAGAGACCTTAATCCCAATCCTGTTTTTATGGCCGTTAGCTTTCTTTAGATAAATTGTGCAGAATGCAAAAACAAAACAACATACAACAAAAATTCACCTTTTTCTGAGGATATTTTCCCTGAGTCCCATATTAATTTTTTGTTATAATTCTTCATGGAGTGAAAAAAAGCAGATATGTGATAGAATCTAATTGTACTGAAATTATGACTTTTAAAGTTAAAACGGTGAAATCTGAAATCTGAAACTAATGACTTTGTGTGACTCACAAAGATTTTTTATATATCCTGAAAAATATACTTGATACACAATAATAAATACTATTTGGAAGATTATTATTTTTATAAAATGCATTCATTTGAATCCACAGTAGTACTTTAGCTAACATGTATGGTTACATATTTATGTGGTTATCATTGCTGGACATGGTAGATCTGCCTGCTGTAGCACAGACAAAAAAGCAGAACTAAAAGCATGAAATAATAAATTGTTTTTCAGTGGAAAATGAGGAATAAAAGTAGGCCAGTATCTAGAACTAGGAACCTAAAAACAATTCTAGCCCTAGGCAGATTTCAGTTCATTCAAAAACTGATAAAGGGATTTTATTCTGCAAGTCAGAAATCTGTCATTTTTATGACAAAAGAATTAGCCATTATTTTAGGGTATATATTCTGTTGGTTTCTGTACCTTAAAATAAAAACTATGAATTTCCTTGGTATTACTTAAAATTGTTGAATTTTTAATGTTGCATTTCCTTTAGCAAAGTGTAATTTTTTGACCAGAGACCTTGATGTGTTTATGGGAGAGACAGATTCAGGTATGTGCATCGACATGTAGAATCATATACTTTAATATGCACACATGCACTGCAACCATGTGTGAAACCATTTACAAAAAATTCTGTAAAGAATCTATATTAGTGGATGACTAAAGAAATCATTATTTTTTCTAGAAGCATTATGTGTGTGTGTGTGTGTGTGTGTGTGTGTGTGTGTGTGTGTTAATTTTTTCACATGATTTGTGAGATTGCTATTGTGTATACCAGGGCCTCTATCAAACAAAATGTATTCTCCATTTATAGTGTTGCATAATGGGCCTTTGAGAACTAAAAACTAGTAATTTTGTTTCTTTCCAGTATGCTCTTTAAAATATCAACAGCAATATTTTATTGATGGAATTCATGGATGCATCAGCTCTCTCTTCCTTAAACTATGCAGCTGTTTAATTTTATTTTCTAAACCACACTCAATCTATCTTAATGTTTGCCATATCATTTTAATTTTTATTACTTTTATGTGTTTCAAAAGTAGTTCATCCTTGCACTTCAAGTGATCAAAAACTTCACCATCATTTTGTATTCTTTTTTCTTTTTTTTTTGAGTAATTAGAATAGTTAAATAAATGAATAAATGAATTTTTTTAAAAAACATTTTTATTTCCTCCTTTCTGCTGAACGTCTCATAGATGTCTGGATTATACAGAAAATTTTTCACAGGAGTTGTGATAAGCTAGCTGAGAAAGAAGATTTTATGCCACCTTTCTGGATCAGCCTATTTAAAGACCCAGTGATAAAAAGAGCTGAAGGCTAAATAGTAAAGAGTGTCCCGTTGGTTTACTTATATAGTTATGGTGTTACGACTTTTACATAGTCATATCTGTACACTATAATATAATCTTATCCTTCAGCATTAACACAGAAGTTTAAAAGCACAATTAAAGCAGGTAATAAAATTAGCTCATAGAGTAGTATAATGTAAAATTTCATTAACATAAAATAAGACTACTTTTAAATATGTTATTTTCCTAGAACACTTAGACTAATTTAAAATTAAAAAATAAATTATGCTATATGTATAAACTGCTTTCATATGACTTTTCATAATATGTACTATATGTCATAATTGTTTTGTTTCATGCACAATGGCCATTTGGCAACACTGAAAAGGTTGACAATCTTTATGTCTCCTAAATGAACATAAGGAAGAGAATCACCTTGAAATCATGTTGAAGAATATATTTTTACCACTTGTTTAGTATGCTTTCTGGATGTCTTTTTAAGAATGCAAATACTTCAGCATCGTGGATTTTCAAAGCTCAATAGGCTCCTAATGCCTGAGGCAGTTTCTCCTAGTAATTGGGCTGTTTCAGTTTGAGCCAATATAATTGTCCCAGTACATTTTTTGAAATGAAATGATATAAGCAGAAATTGCTCTTCACAGAATGCCCTATTATAAATGCTAACATTTTCCCCTAATAGTCACAGGTAAAAAGTTTAGGAATTTTAAAAGACTATAGTCATAACACTCACCATACATTTGAAATGCTGGGTGTTCTATAAATATTGATTTCCCTTCTTTAGGAAGGTGGATTTCTAACTGCGTGTGATAGAACACACACCTGTCCCTATGTAGCCCCCAGGTTCTTCTCTCATTTCTTAATGGACAGCTTGTGATCTGGTTTTGAGTAGAAACAAATTGAAAATAAAATTTAAAAGACTCTGGAAACATACTTCTGAAGGTATTTATATGTAGCTGAGAGAAACAGCTTCTTTCCATTGGCAATATTGCAGTAGTCTGGTCTGTATCCCATTAAACACAAAACAAACATTTAAAAAAGGATCCTTGAATTTCTTTTGAAGTTTAGTTCCTTGTTAATTTAAAAAAAAAAACACCTCAGAAAAATAAATTTATCAAAGGCAGTCTTTCCCAACAAAATCTTTGGATCATAATTAAAGTTGAAGAGCTTTATTCATTTCTAGCTCTTGAAATTTATGTGCATAAAATATTTTTCAGCATGCTGTATTTTTTGTAAAAGATGCAATATTTTAAAATCAGCTCTTTGAGAATAAGGTCTAATTTCTTTAAAAGCCATGATGGTTCCAGGATGATTTCATA